TGGTTATGCTAATATGCATGCATACAAGTCCTTTGGTTGCTCTCTAACCCTCCCTCCCCCCACCGCCCCCAAGTTTGATGGTTCCTTTGGTGTTTCTCTGTCTCTGGATCTATTTTTATTCACCAGGTTATGTTGTTTATTATATTCCACAAATGAGTGAGATCATGTGATAGAAAATAAGAGTTTTTCTAGAGAGCTTCCTGACAGGTCTAATTAGGACGTTTTGGGCTCTTTGGTGAGTCCAAGTCTTTTGTTTCCTCCTCTATTTGCTAGGCTAGTAGTTTGCATTTACTGTGGTTATGAGCTGTATTTTTTAAGAGTATTGTGGAACTGGGAGAGAATAATGGAAATAGGACAAGTTGAAATGTCACAGGATCACTGTTTTTATTGAGACTTAGTCATTTTTCTTTCTTTTTTTAATATTGAGTTTTTACAGAGAGCAAGGGAGAAGGATAGAGAATTAGAAATATCAATGAGAGAGAAACATCGATCAGTTGCCTCCTGCACACCCCCTACTGGGGATGTGCCTGCAACCAAGGTACATGCCCTTGACTGGAATCAAACCTGGGACCCTTCACTCCCTAGGCCGACGCTCTATCCATTGAGCCAAACCGGTTAGGGCTAGTCATTTTTCTTTAATAAAAGTTCTTCCAATTGTTGCAAGCCTTTGGGTAATTTCCAGAGTTGTGAAAAAATTGATGTTAGCAATTTTTGCCAGCTTTCTCATTCCTTTTATGGAGGAACAGATTTTTGGAGGTCATCAATTTTCTATTTTGGAAGTGTTCCTCTATCCCCTGATTTTTTCTTTTTGGATCCTTGCCCAAGGACATGTTTCCACTAATTTGAGACAGAGAGGAAGGAAGGGAGGGAGAGAGATAAGAGTGGGGGGCCTGGGGGAGAGAAAGAAACATCAGTATGAGAAAGAAACATCAATCATTTTCTCCTGTAGATATCCCAACTGGGGATTGAACCTACAACTTAGGTATATGCCTTGACTGAGAATCGAACCCGAAATTTTTTGGTGTAGAGGACAGACAATCCAACCATGTGAGCCACCCAGCCCGGCTCCACCTGATATTTTTACACCTGTTTTTTTCCCCATGCCTCACTTTACCTTTTTGGAAACTACAATACATTTTCCCAAGATTCAGCTCATATATATGTATATATATTTTGTTGTTGTTATTTTTAATCTTCACCCCAGCATATTTTTCCATTGATTTTTAGAGAGAGTGGAAGGAGGTGGAGAGACAGAGAGGGGAACATTGATGTGAGAGGGACACATCAAAAAACTCAATTTTTATCCATAGATAAGGACACTTTTTTTGTAACACATTTTAGAAGTTACTTAAGAAATTTCAGGACCATTTTATAAAATACGCAGATTAATTTATTGACTTGTGTACAGCTTTTACACAAAAAACTTAGTCTCCCCCAAAACTTTTAAACCCATCAGAGACTTTCTTATCTTCATTTAGTTGACTTGATTAGGGATAGCTTATAAGTGTTTTTGAAATTCTATCTAGTCTCCAGAAGTGGGAAATTTTTCAGAATGTAGTTATTGTAGAGAATTTAAAGAATTTATGACAGTCTCTGAAGTCTGTTTCAAACAAAAGTATTAGAAAACTGTATTAAATTATCGCAATGATGTAAAAAATCAATGTCAGTATCTTTGATGGTAGTATTTATTTTTTAGTTTCTGTGCATATAATATCTACATATACAAATATGTAATTTGTTTGGTATAAAGTGGATCCTAAAGTGGTAACTGTTTTGTCTTACTGTTACCAAATACTTAAAACACAGGAGAATGCTAATAATTGATTTTTGTTGGGAAGCTCTTACCTTGGAAACATTTATATAGAGTCGTGTGTTGCTTAATGATGGGGATACATTCTGAGAAACGTGTCGTTAGGGAATTTTGTACTTTGGTGAACATTATACTTACACAAATCTAGATTGTACAGCCTACTACACCTCTAGGCTATTTGGTATAGCTTATTGTTCCTAGACTATAAACCTGCACCGCATGTTACTGTACCAAACAACAGGAGATTAAATAAAGCATAAGAGAAAATGATGCTATCAAGAGGTGCTGTAACTGTGAAACAATGAGACTGCTGTGGATGTACGTAACACAGCATTCTGTTTTACAGCAAACTTTTCCCCCTGTAAATAGAAAAAGTATACTTTAAAGTAATGACAAAAAAGTATTGTGTAGTAAATACATAAACCATAGTCATTTATTACCATTGTCATCAAGTATTATGTACCGTACATAATTGTATGTACTCTACTTTTATACGACTGTCAGCACAATAGTTTGTTTACATAGTATCATCCCAGACACATTAGCGATGCATTGCACAATGACATTATGATGGCTACGATGTCACTAGGCAATAGGAATTTTTCAGCTCCATTATTATCATAGTAAGGATCATCACTGAACATGTCATCCATTGTTATGCAGCGTATGTCTCTACATAGTTCTCAGTTAATGAGAAGTACATGATATTTGCATTCTTATGGAAATAATCTTAAAAATGATGGCTACTTTCCAGGGTCTGATCTAACAGCTAATGTACTTGATGCCTGTTTAGGACTGTTGACTGCAAACAAAAGAACCCATCTCAAATTAGTTCACCGTAAAACAAATTTTATTGGCTAAAAACCAGAAACTTTATATCCTGAATAGATATTTATAGTTATTTTAGCCTTTTTGTAAGCATTTTTAATGCCTACACAAGATGCTATCCTATGTGACATTATTCACCATTTTTAATCATTTGCATATTGCTGGAAATATAGGTTTCCACATTTTCAGCTATAATTTACTTGTAATGGAATTCTATAAATAAAATCGAGACAAAGAATATGAATATTTTTTGCCCTAGCTGGTTTGGCTCAGTGGATAGAGTGTTGGCCTGAGGACTGAAGTGTCCTGGGTTCATTTCTGGCCAAGGGCACATATCTGGCTTGTGGACTCGATCCCTAGTAGGTGGTATGTAGGAGGCAGCTGATCAATGATTCTCTTTCATCATTGATGTTTCTACATCTCCCTCTCCTTTCCTCTCTGAAATCAATAAAAATATATTTATAAAAAGAATATGGATATTTTAAGGTTCTTAATATATGATGTACAATTTTCATGTATGATTATGGTAGTAGTATTTACTAATTTCCATATTCACCAAGAGTGGATGAAAAAATAATTGATTCCAGAATATTTTTGCTAACAAATATAATGATGCTTTAAATTATTAAATGATTATTTTGGGTCGAGGGATTTTATTTTAGGCAGTAAGGAACACAGCTATTCATTGTGGCTATGATAGATGATAAAGGAAGGTATAAATGAGGATAACTCTTAGATATATGTCTCTTGCTTTGGTCTTTTCTCTGGTCTTTTACTTGCAAATCTGCCAGTTCCATATCTCCAATTGGATGTCCCGTAGGCATCTCTAACTTAACATGTGCCCAACTGTGCTCTTGATATTTTATTCAAACCTTTCCTGTTGTCTGTCAAGAACTGTTAAGAATTTGAGCCCCAGCTAGTTTGGCTCAGTGGATAGAGTGTCTGCCTGAGGACTGAAGGGTCTTGGGTTCGATTCTGATCAAGGGCATGTACCTTGGTTGCAGGCTTGATCCCCGGCTCTGGTTGGGCCCGTGTGGGAAGCAACCAATCAATATGTTTCTCTCACATCGATGTTTCTCTCTCTCTGTCTCTCCCTGTCCCTTAAAAAAAAAAAGAATTTGAGATTTTACCCTGCTTATAAGCTGGCAAGGTAGCTTCCCATAGTTTCATGGATGCTGGCAGAAGAGATGAGACTTGAAGGATTTTATTTCTCACAGCAATAGCTGCAGGCAGAGGATCAGCATTGGCTCCATTTCCCAGAGCCTCTGTTTCCACGGGGCTATGTGAAAGGGCCAGCTGACATCTGCACATGGAGTGGATTGTCTTACAAGACAGGAACCCTGAGCTTAGGGTACTGGAACCTTTTATAATGGGCAGCAGGCCAGCCCCAGGGAAGAAGGGGGTGGAGGGTCAACCTCTAGTTAGTTTTGTTCCTAGCATCTAGCACCTTTTACAGTGTTTGGTACCTGTGAGCAGTTTATATATACAGGGTATCCCAAAATGCGTATACACTCTTGAACAGCTGATAGCTCAATTGATGTTACTTTCTTTTCAGCCAGACTAAGCTTTGAACAAAGGAAATTCATCCTAATATGCTACTGAAAGTTTGAAAACACAGTTGAAGTACAAACATTGCCTTTATAATTATTTAAAGTGTGTATACATTTTGTTTTGGGGGTTATGTATACACACTTTAACAGCTGATAACTCACTTAATTTTTACTACTTTTCAGGTTTAACTGATTTGAAATAATGGGTGAAGCCAGACAAAGCTTTGAACAAAGAAAATTTATCCACTAGACTTTTTTATGGGGATACACAAAAGATAAAGTTTACGGTACAAAATTGGCAATATTTGATGAATTGAGGATGGACAAATACTAAATGAAACGATTCTTGATACTTACGATTCCATTGCTTTGCCTTATCAGTAGTGCCTAGACCAGAATGGTCATCAGTTTGAAAACAGAAAATAACAAAAAAATATTCATTTCTGTAGATTTGTATAAATTTTGAAAATGAACTTTATGCTAATAAACACTGACTTTATAATCACTCAAAGTTCGTATACATTTTTTTTGGACACTATATTGTTGAATGGATAGATAATGATTTACATGGTAAAGAAGTGAAATTCTGTTTTCAGAATTTGTAGCATATATTAGAAGGACTATATAGTCAAATCAAGGGAAAATGATGAATTAGTGATTAATTGCTTTTTATTCATATAGGATCAATATAATGATTGCAGCTTATCAATTAGAACTCCTTCCAGTACAACCAGTTTATTAATATTAAGTCATTCACTCAGCAAATACTTGAGTACCAGGCAATGTGATAGGCATTGATGATACTTTGATAAATGAGATATACACAGTCTCTGTCTTATGGAACTTACAACACAGTTGTGAAGAGAGGTACTGAATAAGTATAACACGTATAAATGTTGTGGTGGATAAGTTTTTAGAAGTTTTTGTTGTAGGGGTTGCAAACTCAGATGTCTGCACAGGCCAGGCAGGTAATGTAAAAGAGAGTGAGAACATTGAAACAGCCAAGAGTAGAGGAAGCTGTGATGAACTGCAGAGAACATGAACTGTGTAAATGATACAGCAACAGACAGCTCAGTTTTATTGATATCATATAGGAGTGAGGACCCATTCTTTCCTTATTTCCAAGTTTTTTCAAGAGAAACTGAAAAGTCTAGATTGTCATCCAAGGTATTACAATTTTCTGAGGTACTGTGTAGTCCAAATCAAACATAGTTTTGACTTACAGTCCTCTTTAATATAAGGAATATAGCCTTTTAACTAAGGTTCTATCAAGAAAAAACTGTGGAGTTGTGAGGGCGTGAGGACATTCTATACAGATTACCCTATTTTCATTTTATTCCCCCTAAATTTTAATGTTATTCCCAAATCCTCTCATTTGTAATTTATTTATTTACACACACACACACACACACACACACACACACACACACACACACAGTAGAGGCCTGGTGCATGAAAATTCATGCACTGGAAGGGGGGGGCTCTCAGCCCGGCCTGCCTCCTCTCATAGTCTGGGAGCCCCCAGGGGTGGGAGGCGACAGGCGATCAGGGGAAGGAGACGCCCCATCACATCTCTACTGCTGCCTCTGCCGGCAGCACAAGCCTCGGCTGGCCCTGGTTACCCGAGACTCAGGTTGCCCTGGGTGGCTGGGCAGCCGACATCTAAGGCTTGCCTGCGCCTCCGGCTGGCCCTGGGTACTGGGGGGCTGAGGGGACTGGGGGAATCCAGAGGCAGGCGTGCGGTGGGGCGGCGGTGACTGAGCGCCGCCATCTTTGAGGGTGTGACAGTCAATTAGCATATCCCCTCCTTATTAGATAGGATGTATACAGGTTTCTTATGGCATAGCTAACAAGACTAGGTGTGGATATAAAAATCATTAGAACATGAAATTCATAAGGGGAAAAAAAAGACCTCTGACTCCATCTTACCAGCTTTGTGTTATTGGACTAGCTCAGGGGTGGGCAAACTTTTTGACTCGAGGGCCACAATGGGTTCTTAAACTGGACTGGAGGGCCGGAACAAAAGCATAGATGGAGTGTTTGTGTGAATATAAATTCAAAGTAAACATTATCACATAAAAGGGTATGGTCTTTTTTCCCCCCAATAGTTTTATTCATTTCAAATGGGCTGGATCCGGCCCGCGGACCGTAGTTTGCCCATGGCTGGACTAGCTGCTTACCTTCTTTCTCAGTGCTTAGATTATTCCTCATCTATACAATGAGAGTAACAGTTAATTGCCTCACGATGGTATGAGAATTAAATAATGTACTAGGAAATGCTTTGTATGTTGTCAGGGCTCTATGAATGTTGTGTTCTTGCCTTTTCTTTTTAACTCCTCTTCCTCCTATTCCCCAGCCATTCAGTTGTACCTGACTCATTCTTTTATTGCATTGTGCTAGATAGCACCTACTGATACAATAACTTGGGCAATTTTAAAGTACTAATCCTCTTTAGGGATATTTTCAGTTTTAAAAGAAACTCCTAGAGTCATTGCCTTAACCTAATATTATGAAAGTTTGATGTACTGTAGCCCAGAGGTTATTGGGTAGGCAGATCTTTGGCTCAAATCCCACAACCAAATAAATGCCTGTTCCACTTATCTTGAAGACAGCTTTCAAATAACATTGTTTTCTTTGGCAGTGGTTGAAACCAGAAGTTGCTGACAGATTGGTATTTTCTCTCTCGTTGATTTGCATGATGTCTGAAGATAAACACAATACAGAAAGACCACATATAATTTTATCTTTTCCTTCCATCTCTCTTCTTTCATTCCTGGGAAATAAACTTGATAGGAGTAAACACTGCTAAAACCCAGTCTTTCATAAACATGTGCTTGTGTGTGTTCGGATGTTGGAGCTGTAGGTATCTAGGATACCATAAACATTTCAGTGGCAAGAGACTTATGGTGCCTTTGGGGAAGTTGTGTGTGAATAACAAGTAGCAGTGTCTTTCTTGTAAAATAATAATTCTCAGTGGTGGTGGTAAGGTTGGTACATGGCAAGGGAGAAAAGAATTCCCGGGGGGAAAAATCCTGTGTTTCTTGTTTTTGTTTTTGTTTTCAATTTTATTATGAAATATTGAAAGAACACTATAGTGAATAACCATATACCCATGATATAGATATAACTACTACTCTTTCCTCTGTACATTTTTGAAAAAACGCATGGATAATTCTGAATAAGGTTGATGTATGTACTAGAATAATTGTTCATTTACTTAGGTGGCACAGAAAGGTACTATGGTTAGTTAGGACAGTATACCCATATTAAGAATGTATGTGTGTTTAATCGTTAAGCATTATTTATTTTTATTTTTCAATTATAGTTTACATTCACTATTAATTTGTTTTAGTTTCAGGTGTACAGTGTAGTGGCTAGACAATCATATACTTTACAAGGTTTGGCCCTGATATTTCCAGTACCCACCTGGCACCATACACAGTTACAGCAATATTATTGATTTTGTTCCCTATATTGTACTTTACAATCCTGTGACTATTTTATAATTACCAATTTGTACTTTTTAATCCCTTCACTTCTTTTACCCAGTATCCTTTAAGTATTAATGAGTAAAATGACATGAAACCTACAGCTGACTTTCAAATTGTTCACCAATAAAAAAGTTTACTTTCAGGATTAGATTTAATCAAGGATTACGTATGGCATTTTATTGTAATGTCTTCTACAATCTAGAATAATGCTGCCCCCTCTTTTTTACTTCACATGTGGAACACTGTACAAGACAATTAGCCAAAGAGTCAGTTTCTTGGACTTTGTAGGATTGTTTCTTTGTACATTATTTTTCTTCTAGCCCCTGTTTTCTTAACTGGAAGTTTAAGACTTATTAGGTTAAAGGTTTTTGGCAGAGGCACTGCATAGGTAATGCTGTTTACTTCATATTCAATCACATCAGGAAGCACATAATGTCTGTATCAGCAGTTTTCAACCTGTGTGTCGCTACCCCTTTGGGGTCGGACGACCCTTTCACAGGGGTTGCCCAAGACCATCCTGCATATCAGATATTTACATTACGATTCATGACAGTAGCGACATTACAGTTATGAGGTAGCAACGAAAATAATTTTATGGTTGGGTCACAACATGAGGAACTGTATTTAAAGGGCCAGAAGGTTGAGAACCACTGGTCTATATTAATGCCAGTGTTAGTGATGCCAAGATTTCTTCCTTGTAAAGGAATGTTTTGCCTTTTGACAATTTGGCATCACGTGACTATCCTATTTCTCATTAACCTTTCATCAAGGATTTTGGCGTACATTGAGAATCCTTGCTGAATCAGTGTTTTTGTTTTTTTTTAAAAATATATTTTATTGATTTTTTTTTATAGAGAGGAAGGGAGAGGGGATAGAGAATTAGAAACATTGATGAGAGAGAAACATCGATCAGCTGCTTCCTGCACACCTCCTACTGGGGATGTGCCCACAACCAAGGTACATGACCTTGACCGGAATTGAACCTGGGGACCGTTCAGTCCGCAGGCCGATGCTCTCTCCACTGAGCCAAACCAGTTAGGGCTGAATCAGTGTTTTAATAACGTACTTCTCAGTTTTGATATTTTCTTCTCCCAATTATGTTGACAGTCTTTACCATTTTGGGGAGTGAATAGTGTCCTTCAAAGTGTTGGCTAAGATAATAGGTTGAAAATCAGGATTATAGAAAACATTTAATGGTATCTAATTTTATTAACTCATTTCAAGCTGGATTTTCAATTCTTTGGAAAGAAACTACTGATTAGGAGCTGAGAATCATTTATTGATTGCACATTATACCTGAAGAAATTAATTTCTTGACTAAGAAACTGTTTTCCTTGTAGTCAGGTTATGTCAAAGAAGCTAGTGTATGCTAGTTTTAGCAAGGCATTTAAAAATACCTCTTTTTTTTAAAAAAAATTTTGAGCCATTTGGTTAATTCAAAAGTGTTTTAATAGTTATGCTCTAAACACATTGATTATTCATTTTGCATTTACAATGAGTAAATGATTATTCATTTTGCATTTACAATGAGGCCCTGGTCAGGTTGCTTAGCATCTAGTGAGAGACAGGTTAATGAACAGATAGGATCCAGGTATGCTATGGTATGTATAGGAAGCTATGAGAGGTTTTTTTTTTTAATGCCAACTCAAAAGTTTATTGACATTTTCTAAGTATTTCTTTACAGTAGCAGAAGCGAAATGGCAGAGCAGTAAAATAAAACCAGCAGAGTTTCTCAGATTAGGCTTAGTTTTACATTACTAATCATTTTTTAAAAAAATCTTTATTGTTCAAATTATTACAGATGTCCATCTTTCCCCCCCCCCCATAGCTCCCCTCCGCCCGGTTCCCACCCCAGGCCCTCGCCACCCCACTGTCTGCATCCATAGGTACTGCATACATGCATATAAGATCTTTGTCCCATCTCCACATCCCCCCTCCCCCACATTCTCCTTCCCCCCAGGAATTACCAGTCTGATCCATTTCCATGCCCCCGATTTTATTACATTCACCAATTTATTCTGTTCATCAGATTTTTTATTCATTTGATTTTTAAATTCACTTGTTGATAGATATGTATCTGTTGTCACTTTGTTGTTCATAATTTTTTATCTTCTTCTTCCTGTTCTTAAAGAATACCCTTCAGCATTTCATATAATACTGGTTTGGTTGTGATGAACTTCTTTAGGTTTTTCTTGTCTGTGAAGCTCTTTATCTGATCCTTAATTCTAAATGATAGAT